GTATGGGTCTTGAGATAGCAGTGGAACAGTTGGACACACACACACACACACACACACACACACACACACACAGACAGACACACTAAACTGCAAAGACTCCCATTTTGTGCTTCGCACATGGGAGTCAAAAATAAAATGACGTGCATCTGAGGAACCTGTAAAACCCATCTGTAAACATTCGGGAAATGCTCGATTTTGATGATTTTTTAGCACAAAAATGGCCACCATTCGACCATTTATATTAGAATCGTCAAACCAATATATTCGTATATCTATGACATGATCTATAATGAATATTTAAAATTTGAACATAATCAGTCAAAGCAAGTCAGAGATATGCCATTAGAACCACATTCATTAAAACAAATTGGCCGCCAGTTGGCCATTTTGAATCTTAACTGAAAAACTATAATTCTATAATGTCTAACGTATATACCAATTTTGAACAAAATCAATCTGTAAACAGCGAAAAATGTTTGATTTTGATGATTTTTAGCACAAAAATGACCGCCATTCGGCCACCTTGAATAAGATCGTGAAACAAATTGACGTGCATATGTATAATATCATGCATGATGTATGTGTAAAGTTTGATTGTGATTGGTCCAGGCATTTCTAAGATACAGGTCTCACCGTCTGGACGCACGCATGCATGGACGCACAGAAACACGAACGCACGGAGGTCAAAACATAAGTCCCGGTTTTCGAACTCAGAAACAGTTCTTACCTGATAATGTTAACGTGTTTTCATTTTGGGAAGGTTTCATTAAGCCAGAAGTAGGTTTCTATGGAAACAAAAATTTGTGAGATCACTATAATATACCGGTAATTGATTATAAAATTAATGAACAACACATTACATTATATTGATGGAGAGTCAATTGTATACAAGATACTGTGTGGCATTATTCTTTACGGACTGGATACAGCATTTGCGGCCCAGGGTTGTGCGCCAGAAGCGTCCGAGCTTGCAAGGGCACATAATCCAGTCCATAAAGGTTTTATCATACTTCTTATAGGTGTAATTACAATTTTACCATGCTGGGACCTCAAAAACAAAACATAATTTAGAATGATGTGTTTTACTTTGATTGATGAAAGCTGGGTACGCTGGGCCAGGTGTGATATGAGAAATTATTGTCTAGATGTGAGGGCACACTTCGTATAGTGCTACGAGACTAGACAATACGAGGTATATGATAATGCTCAATTCAACCCACTTGGTTTGTTTTTATGTCCAAAACCACAGTACAAGGCATATAATGGTGTAGCCCCTTGGTGAACAAGCACATATCGATTTACAGATATCACACCCAGCTAGTCAGTCGTAAATCAATGTTTAATGTTGACGCATTCTTCATGTGAAGTGCTCGGTTTTGGTTTGTTTATAGCTTTATACTAGACTCGATGCAGTCTACTATAGTGAGTATTTGACAAATTTATGAATCGGTCTGGAGGGCTGTGGGCATGCATTACGTAAGGGTCAGTCTGCGCATGCAAGTTCCCATGGTGATCATTTACTGAAGTCATGGTAACAGCCAATCAATTAGAATCAAAGAAAGCTTAGAAAGAACTCCCATGTGCTGAGAGTATTGGAGACACATTAAAAATAATTCAAAATTACTTGTACTTGATTCAGATAGTGATGGAAAAGCTGAAAACTAATACAGTGTGTAATGCAAATCAAAAAAATTCACATGAACAGATTTGAGTGTAAAACTAATGAGGTCTGCGCAACGTAACAGATCATCTATGTGCCAAAACACAAAGTAAACGGCAAGGTAAATACTATGTCAAATTATAGTAAACACGTACTGCGTGCGTGACTCGAACCGGCGCTTGTGTACGGCACCTAATCGCCTAGCTTCACGCCACTACACGTCTTCCCCTCGGAACGGAGCGCGTGGGCGGGTTTCATGTTCTCTGCACGTAATAAGCTCGGTTATTAAGCATCCTTTATTGGGGATGCCCAGTGGCCGAGGGGAAGACGTGTAGTGGCTGTAAACATTGCAGTTTATTTTGTCTGTGTCCAATATTATAGGAATTGTTTGCTGTTGCTTGCGACTTCGACAGTAACAGCTTCCAAAATAAACCAGTTTCATCGCAATTATAAACTTGTTTGTCGGAATAACCACCTTTATAGATAATTTCTCTCAGTTTTTCGGAAAAAGTTCTGACAGCGTCCATGTTCGCAGATCGAGCTTCGCCTTGGATTGAGACTTCGTGTATAGCATGTCTTCTTCGCCTTCACAAGAACCACCCTGAACTGGCCCCAAATTCAAAATCGTCATATCTGAGTTGTGTGCTTTGCATTGGGTGATGGGACCAGAAGAGTGGAGTTCCGGCAGACTGTTCTTGAAGAAACGTAAACAGCTCACTCACTGCTCACCCACTGCTAGATCAGGTGCAACCCTTCAGTTTTATAGAGTTTTATAGAGGTATACCAAAATGGGACCAGCCGAGAAGCACGTACGGTCACTACTCGACACCCCTGTTGACACCTTGAGTAAGGCCGCCATCACCCATTGCATCTCAGCAATTGACGGACAGTGGGTGTTAAGTTGTCTCTTTAAAGGTTAGTTAAAAACACTATGCCACGAAACAATAGTCTTTGTACTTCAGAACTCCCGTCAAAACACAATAGAAATTTTGGGAGCCATCCAAGTACCCGCGACTTAGCCGAATCGCGACTTACCAAGCGCAACTTAGCAAGGGGTCACTGTATTATAAAACCCCCCCCCCACTCAAATTACTCTCAATATATTACTCACAGAAACAGAAGCGACATTACTATCTCTGGACTGACATGTTCTTATTCGACTATAATCTCGACGCCTTTCCTGAGATAATAAATATAATAAAAAAATACATATTTGATTATGTCTTCCAGGAAAATAGTCTTCAAAAACATTCATTTCTAAAAAAAACTTATCTTAGTAAAGTAAAAGTAGATTATTAATTAAACTAACCAACACCTGTTTCATTTTTTATCAGTGGTTTATATATGAGCAAATAATTTGCATAATTTCCCATAATGCAATGCATTCTTAATGTCACATGATTGTATATGACCAATCATAACAGCCTTACTTGTAATTCTTGTAACCAGTACATCATGGTAGCATTGTCTTTAGCTTGTAGCTGATAAACACGATTTTTTGTTCTATAGAATAAAAACATCTACAAGTCAAAATACGGCTCATAATCCTCACAATTTCAAATACAAATGCACCCAATGTTAAAATTAAAAAATCTTGAAATAGACTTACACGATGTTAAACTGCCCCATTTTTTCTGTATTGTTGAGATCAAAGGTAAACGTAGCATTTGCGATGTCAATGGATCTAAAATAGACGGGAATACATTGGGTATTGTCAGTAAAAGTCATTGTGAAGCCCAGGTGAAGCCTTTGACATTTTAATATTATATTTGTACTGTAATTAATGCAACAGCCACGGTATTCCCAAGATATCAGCCTAGCCAATACCTGAACATCAGCAAGCAGCTTTGTAACCATGGTTTTCAGCATCTTAGAGTGTCATCAATTCACCAACTCGCACATGAGATTTTCTTTGAAATTAAAGGTTGCCTATGTTACACATTATTATAAATCTAGCATCCGAAACAATAGAAATTTGCTAGTCTGTAAAAAGCTGTGTTAGCACATGTTTACTGTACTGCAGGGTGTTCTTGTGATAACTTCATTATATTCGATACAGTTACCGGTAAGATTAATCTGAGATGCATAGTAATAAGTATAGACTCAAGAGTTGTTTTATATATAGTTATTAGGTCCCCTTTTGTATTTATACACAGTCCCTCTATCACCGGTCTGGAAACGTCTATTGTTTTACGTGTGAATTGGCGGGATTAGTGGGCTAACGCTTGTAACGGCTCTCCGCGAAGCGCGGTACTATACTGTTGATAGCTTCGAGATGCATCACGTTCAGTGCTGTGATCTATTTTTTAACGTTTCCAGAACATATTCGATACCGTATACAAATATTTTTTACCAT